TGGTAAAAATTTCACCAGGAGGTACCAAAATACTGTAGTATAAATTTCACCAGAAAATACCAAAATGGTATAAATTTCACCAGAAAGTACCAAAATGGTATGAATTTCACCATAAAGTACCAAAATGGTATAAATTTCACCAGAAAGTACCAAAATGGTATAAATTTCACCAGAAAGTACCAAAATGGTATGAATTTCACCAGAAAGTACCAAAATGGTATAAATTTCACCAGAAAGTACCAAAATGGTATGAATTTCACCAGAAAGTACCAAAATAGTATAAATTTCACCAGAAAATAGCAAAATGGTATGAATTTCACCAGAAAGTACCAAAATGGTAAGAATTTCACCAGAAAGTACCAAAATGGTATGAATTTCACCAGAAAGTACCAAAATGGTAAAAATTTCACCAGGAGGTACCAAAATGTTATGAATTTCACCAGAAAGTACCAAAATACTGTAGCATAAATTTCACCAGAAAGTACCAAAATGGTATAAATTTCACCAGAAAGTACCAAAATGGTATAAATTTCACCAGAAAGTACCATAATGGTATGAATTTCACCAGAAAGTACCAAAATGGTATAAATTTCACCAGGAGGTACCAAAATGTTATGAATTTCACCAGAAAGTACCAAAATAGTATAAATTTCACCAGAAAGTACCAAAATGGTATGAATTTCACCAGAAAGTACCAAAATGGTATGAATTTCACCAGAAAGTACCAAAATGGTATGAATTTCACCAGAAAGTACCAAAATGGTATAAATTTCACCAAAAAGTACCAAAATAGTATAAATTTCACCAGAAAGTACCAAAATGGTATAAATTTCACCAGAAAATACCAAAATGGTATGAATTTCACCAGAAAATACCAAAATGGTATGAATTTCACCAGAAAGTACCAAAATAGTATAAATTTCACCAGAAAATAGCAAAATGGTATGAATTTCACCACAAAGTACCAAAATGGTAAGAATTTTACCAGAAAGTACCAAAATGGTATGAATTTCACCAGAAAGTACCAAAATGGTATAAATTTCACCAGGAGGTACCAAAATGTTATGAATTTCACCAGAAAGTACCAAAATAGTATAAATTTCACCACAAAGTACCAAAATAGTATAAATTTCACCAAAAAGTACCAAAATGGTATGAATTTCACCAGAAAGTACCAAAATGGTATGAATTTCACCGAGAAAGTACCAAAATGGTATAACTTCACCAGA